CTTTTGGCTGAGCAGATAGACGATTCGACATTCTGCACCATGAACGACGACGCCCCCACCAGGATTATGGGTAGCTGCAGCAGCTCGCCAAACCTCACAATTGCTAGCTCTGGTTTGATCAATAGGATCTCATGGCGACCTATGCTAACACTAGCATCAGACCATCTACCCATAATCATCTCGATCAATAAGCCCACCGACTTTGCTCCCGCGGACCACCGAACCTACACCAACTTCAACAAAGCTGATTGGGACGGCTTCGCGGAAGTCACCGAGAGCAGCTTCGCCCCCTTCCCACACCCACAAACATACATACTGGCGAACGCCCGTTTCCGCAGGGTAGTTACTGCCGCAGCGGCTCGCTTCATCCCGTCCGGACGTCCGCCCAAATTTCCGGGCCGAACCAGCTTTACTAGCAAATGAGCGTGACCACCTACGCCAGGTCGACCCCGGGGACCCCCGTTCGAGGGACCTTAATTTGGAGATTCGGCAACTGGTAAATCAGCATAAGCGGAAAAAGTGGCAGGAGCACTTGAAGGCCTGTAACTTCACATCTGGTGTGAGTAAGCTCTGGTCAACCGTGAGGTTCCTGTCCAACCCAACGAAGCGTGATGACAGAGTCGATATCTCTTTCAAATGTCGCGCCTCGTCGGACCCAAAGAAATGCGCAGCCTACTTTAGAAGGCAATTCACACTGCACCCTTCGGTAGACAAGGCCAAACGTCGAGTGACCAGGAGTCTGCACAGGCTGCCGAAAAACAGTGCACTACTTGTTTTCACCAGCTGTGAAGTGAAGGGGGCCATCGGGAGGGCGAAAGCCTCCAAAGCGATTGGACCCGACGGAATCTCAACGGACCCAACAACAACTCTTATCGCCCGATAACGCTCCTTTCCCCGGTGCGAAGACGCTGGAGGCCCTACTACTCCCATACTTCACTTTCCACCTGACCCCAGCGAAGAACCAGCACAGATTCCGTAAAATGCACAGCACAACAACAGCACTTACTTAACGCCATAAACACCCAAATAACTCGTGGCCTAAATCGAAACCGCCCCTGTGAGAGAACGGTCCTAGTAGCGCTGGACTTGTCAAAGGCGTTTGACACCGTCTGCCATTCCACGCTACTAGAAGACATCGAGGCCTCCTCACTCCCACAGGGACTGAAGCGATGGTCGGCGAATTATATGAGTGGTCGACAGTCGTCAGTAATCTTCCGAGATCAAACCTCGAAACCAAGAAGGATTAAACAAGGGGTTCCACAAGGTGGTGTTCTCCTCCCTTACTATTTAACTTCTACATCTCGAAGCTTCCTCAACCACCTGAGGGAGTTTCCCTGATCTCATACGCTGATGATTGCTCGATTTTGGCGTCCGGGAATGGAATTGATGACCTCTGCTCAAAAGTGAACGACTATCTCTCCAGCCTTTCTCGCTTCTTCACTGCAAGGAGCCTAATACTCTCCCCAACGAAATCAACGGCGACCCTCTTCACCACCTGGACGAAGGAGGTCAGGCTAGAGTTAAGCATACACGTCGATGGCACACCAATACCGACTGTAAGTAAACAACCCGAAAATTTTAGGGGTCACCTTCGATAGCCTGCTCTCCTACTCCACGCAGACCACCGCAGTTGTCAATAAAGTACAGAGCCGCAACAAGGTCCTCAAGTCGCTCGCCGGCAGCACTTGGGGCAAAGACAAAGAAACGTTGCTGGCAACATACAAGGCAATTGGCCGGCCGGTTCTAAACTATGCTGCGCCAGTTTGGACGCCGGGGACTAGTTGGACGCAGTGGACGAAGCTACAGACTTGTCAGAACGCCGCACTCCGGACAGCGACTGGGTGCCTTCTGATGACGCCTGAGCCCCACCTGCACAGCGAGGCCCAAGTGCTCCCCGTAAGGGAACACAACAAAATGCTCTGTAAGCAATTTCTGGTGGGGTGTCACAGGAGGAGCCTCCACCCAGGCACGTCAGGGGGCACCTATTCGTGTACAAGGACGCAGTCCAACAGTACGTAGACCAACGACTGGACCCGACGACATACAGACGAGCCATCAACGACATTCATAGAGAGTCAGTTACCACCTACCTCGACTATCGACCTATGAATGCCGTAATAGGAACCCAATCACCACCTGTAGAAGAGACGGAGCTTCAACTGCCAAGAGAGACCCGCGTTACCCTGGCTCAATTACGGTCTGGATACTGTAGCCGCCTCAAAAGTTACCTGTCCAGACTCGACCCCAATATCCCCAATGAGTGTCCGGCATGTGGAGAATCCCCCCACGACACCAACCACCTCTTTACATGCCAGCTCAATCCGACTCAGCTAACACCCCTCTCCCTCTGGTCCGAACCCATTGAAACAGCTCGTTTCCTGGGCCTCCCGTTAGTTGAGCTTGACGAAAATGATTGAACGTAGACCCGAAAAAGGCGGGGCTTAGTAGTACCGCTACAACAACAACAACAACAACAGTAAAAAAGTAGTACAAAATGGTTTTCTTGGCGTTCATTGTGGCACACCTTTTGCATCTGGCGCTTTGCTGGCAAAGTTATAAATGTCACGCAAAGCTTCAAAGTTTTATCTGGCATCAGCTATATACGTATATAGAACAGCGTTGCTGCTTTGGTAATGTTTTACCAAAATTGGTAATTTTTTCCTTATTTATCAAATTTGGTAATTTATTTTTCAATTTGGTAAATTTTTCGATTCAGTTCTACATGTAACATAGGTTAAGACAAGTTCACATTAGGAAGTGGGCTGTAAGCGTTTACTTTTAGAGAAATACCAGGTAGTCTTGAAAGTTTCGCAAGGCGAAAAGTTCTTAGGCGTTACTAGAATTGCTTGATCTCTAACAAACTGCTTGAAAGTGGCTATTACTATATGTACCGTGATTTCCAGAAGGTTGTGGATGATCCTACCTTTCCTTGTCATAAGCTTTACAATTGCCATCAATAATGCAGCGTAACCGGGCAACCATATGAGTAGAATTCTATGTTCAAAAGCATTGTGTGTTTAAAAAGCAACGGCATTCGGTAGGGGCTTCACTTTTTCTATGTGTGAGTCGAAAGCTTTCAGAAAATTATGCGCCTAATAATCATATGGTGCAATAAACCGTATCCATGACGCTGTGAATGATCAGATGTCTTCAGGTGCTTTGTGGCCTGAGCTTTGTATGGATGGATATGTATATCCAAATGCAAAATATACCATTATGAGCCATAATAGCCCGAACGCAATGAAAACGACGAGCTACGGATCACAGCTGTCAAATTATTTTAACACGTACTCTTATCTAGATAATTAATAGCCAGCGAAGATCGAAAATCGAATGCAACTCATAATAAGGGTCTTTATATGGAAGGGAAGCACTGTGCGGCGCCGACTTTGCCGATCACTTACAATAGGTTTGTCCCAGGGATGCGATGTAAGCACCAGACATCTGCAGCGGGTGCATGATTTTCGTGTATACTCGATCATCTAACAAAACCCGCTTTGCATCGTTCTCTGTATACGAGCAGAAGTATTGTTCGTTATCGACTGAGCTCAAGACGAACATGTTGGCCACAACACCCGATTGCTTTTCATACATACTTGATTGGGTTCGGGTGCTTTGCAGCTCAATATACCCGGGTGTTCGAGTTTCAACCCGAGTGTGCACAAAATTTTCTTGATTGGCTTATGACGTTTTTGTTTCTACAAAAAATGTTGCCTTCTCATCGCGGTGTTCTTAGTTTTTGTGCGTAGAGGGTAAAGAGAAGGTTGAATTTTTCGGTAGTTTGTTTAAGTGTACATTTAACCATTTCTTATATTTTTGCTCATACAAAATGCGGCATCACGACGCCTACATCCATTTAGGTATAAATGTGTGTAGATCGGCAATGCCCAAGCCCTATACACTCGGTGCACATTTATTTTTTGTAAAAGTACTTATGTACCTACATAGTTTTAGGCTGTGTTCTAATATATACACACACAGCTTTCCACGCGAAACTATACGAAATAGATGCAAAAACATTTTTGTCTACTTCGCTTCTAATTTTTTCATTGCGTATGCACAAGCACAAAGCAACAACATTTTCGTATGCTTTGTGGGAACATATTGGCGCCAGTTACCTTCAGCGTAAATTTCTTTGTTGTCCTGCATTTTATCGCAATGTTCGGGTGTCCGTTTCATTGTTACACAAATTTTCGGGTTAGCTGCGGGTGTCCGAGTGTGGTGTTCGCTTGTGCTCAATTTATAGCGAGGGTGATCGAACAGACTCGTTCGTAACCAAAGCAGCTGTCGGGTATGCATCTCGATCGAACACATAGTAGCCGAGTGTGGCGTTCGCTTGTGCTTGATTTTTAGTGAGTGTGATCAAAAAGGCTCGATCATACTCAAAGCTGTTCTCTGGTAAGCACATTATTTTTACATGTATAATGCGTTACTCGATGTCCGCGATAAATTTAAGGTGCGATGTCACAGGTTCGATTGTCCCGCTATATAAGTGTAAGTGATAAATTTTTGACAGCGTCCCATGTTAATTGATAACCACCCAAAAGGCCAACGACGATAAAATAAAGTTATTTTTAAATTTTTTATTACACAATGTCAATGCTCTAGGACGGCGTTGTCGCACTAACTGGGTGTAAGTGGTTTGTTTTCGTGGTTATTTTGAAAATCTTATCATACTTTTATCGATGGAAAAAATAAGTCACTAAAAACCGTCGCTAGCTCCCGGACTAAATCCTAGGGGGTGAGCATAAAAATTTTGACTTTACTTTTAAAAGCATTTTTGGACCCTAATGTACAATCATTAGTTGCGTTCCCCAACTTTTCGGGGTTAAAACCTGTTAAACTGTCAAAAGGCAAAAGAAGCCAGAGAACCGAGTACGGGAACGCTTTCTGGCAAATTCCTGTAAATTCTTGAAACTTCTTGCGAGTTAGGGAACGCAACTATTATAAATGCATATATATGTGCATGCATATTCAAAATAACTAAAAATTTGCATTACCTTTTTTGAACCAGCTTTGCTGGCTTCCGCTATGGCCTCATTACGCATGGCATTAAATTCTTGATTTTCTTTACTATCTTTTCTTTCTGGGCCCCCAGTTTGCAAGCTTTTAAAATTACGCTCCTTTGAAAGCGAAGTTTCAACTTTTTTTCCAAAGGGTATCCATGGGGGAGGTCCTGTGGCACCGCTCATTCGACGACCACTACGTGCGTATTTTTGCATTGTACGAGCCAATTCCCACTTTTCAACCATTGCTTCGACTCTCCCTCCTAAAACCTGAAGCTCAGAAGAACGCAGTATCAAAAAACCTTGTATTAGTTCAAGTCTATCTGAGGTAAAATATATTTTCGTCCCTGGAGGTAAATTCGTGCTCAACGCAGGAATATTTTCTAATTCCAAGGCCTGGATTGTTGTAACCCCGTCACTTAATTCCAAGTGTAGGAACCTCGGTGCAGCTTTTGAATCTTCGTTAGACTTGGGAGCCGAAACATTACGTGTTTTTTGCAATTGCAGAACGATCCTACCAGAAATATTGTCATCTCTTTTAGTTGGTAGAGCTCCCGCAGCAATGTCACGGAAGTCCATCTATTTCATTTCAATATAAAATTCGTATTAAATTGTGAGCAATATGATAGCAAGTACTTACATCCATAATGGTTGAAATAATTTTTCGCTCATCATTGATTTCAGGCCCGCCCGCATTGGAGAAGGCAGCAGTCACTTTTTTGAGACCATCGTCCGTTATATGCCTAAATATGTATATGTAGGCCGAAATTTTTGTATTGATTCGTTTCAGTGAATGCATCCAAAACTCACCATCCTTGATTCAATAATTTTCTATTTAAATCCATTTTGCAGAAATTTTGCCAATCCCTGGACACAATTGACATTAACCAAAAATTCCTTTCAGCAAACGTCAAAATTTAAGTTTGTTTAATAACTTATTCAGCAAATACTTGCAGCGAGAGCGTAAACACAAAATAGAGAGTTGAAAGCTCAGATAGTCAAGACTTAACTTAACTTATACCATGGTGCAATAAAATTTATTATTTTATTATTGATTATTTCTTTAATAGTTTTATTAAGGGTATTCATCAAACCTTATAAATGCATTGTAAACCGTATAAACTTATAATTGTGTAAACCTTATAAATGAACTGTCAAAATTTGTATGGAAACTCGTTTACACATTTCTGATAAATTTATCCAGCGATTTCACTGAATAAACTTGATAAACTGAAGACAATGCAACTCTGTCGCAACTCTAGCTATGTTTTCTTCGGCAATAATCGGGATCCGCATACAAATTTTGCACGCAAATTCAACAACGATATGATCCTGATAGAGATCTGGTTCAATTATTATCCCGTCTGTTTGTTTTGTTTCACTGATAATTCGCAAAGTTTGGTAGCCGTGACAAATGAATTCATACACAAACAGACATTCTGCCATTGTTTCTTATAACTTGCTTCAAATAAATAGCCTTTATGTTATATGTACATTTATTTAAATAGATATCTCGTAAATATAATTTTTTCCAATTTAGTGAGGTAGTTTCTATAATTTCTTTATCCCCGTGCTAGTAGTATAAAGTTAGTGACACTGCGCTTTATAACCAAAGAAAACACGACTATTGTCGCATGTGTAAACGAAAAGAGAGTGTGGGTCGTTCATGTAACAGAGTGCATAAACTTATAAGATTATCTGCTTGATAAAGTTATCGGTTTAGATGAATACCACTATTATAATTATACCATGAACTTATACGATAATCTCACGACACCTTTAATAGGAAATTTATTTAAACTGGCACTTTTTCTGAGTTTAAAATAAAGTTAATAAATGTTTACATCATCAATTTAATACAGAAATTTACACATTTTTAGCAATAATTCCCTTAAACTCATTAAGTCNTAAACCTTATAAATGAACTGTCAAAATTTGTATGGAACCTCGTTTACACAATTCTGATAAATTTATACAGCGATTTCACTGAATAAACTANTCTGTAGTTGTAGCCCGTAGCGCAGAAATCTGCGGAATTTAGATTTTTCCGTGTCAGCTGATTTCTCCTTCTTTAGATGGTTGCCACTTCGTCAGTTTTACAGATGGTAAAAAAGTTATAAGTTCCTATTCAAAATATGTTTAAAATATTTGAAATTTACTATTGAATAAGGTTTTTGTTGAAAACTAAGTAGTTTATATTTAGCTAAAATCTATTATAGCACGAAAAATTTTAGTTGAAAGGGTAAGTTTATGAAAAGGCATTGATGAGTGGCAACAGTGTAGTAAGCAACACTGAGTGCTCCAGTAATCGACAAAATTCTGCATATACAGACTGCGTTTAAGTATACGTTCTGCGTTCTCGACTAATTTCAGCTTTAAACTGTTTAAAACTCGCAAGTTTACGAGGCTTTTATCAGAACGCCCCCTTTGTGAAAATGTGTTAAAGGTGAAATTAGTCAAGAAAGTAAACCACCGGTACGTAAACCCGAGTCAGATGACACGATCTATTTTACCAGAACGCTATGTAAATGAAAACTCAACAACGCAGAATCTTCTGTAGTCGTAGCCCGTAGCGCAAAAATCTGCGGAATTTAGATTTTACCGTGACAGCTGATTTCTCCCTTCTATAGATGGTTGTCAGTTCGTCAGTTTTACAAATAGTAAAAAAGATATAAGTTCCTATTAAAAATACGTTTAAAATATTTGAAATTTACTATCTAATAAGGCTTTTTGTTGAAAAAAAAGTAGTTTATATTTAGGTACGATCTATTATAGCACGAAAAATTGTAGTTGAAAAGGTAAGTTTACGAAAAGGCATGGATGAGTGGCAGCACTGTAGTAAGCAACACTGAAGTAAACAGCTGGTTTCTGCGTATTCACTGCGGTCTCCAGTAATCGACAAAATTCTGCGTGTACTGACAGCATTATGGGCTGTTTTTGCTTACGCGTAAAAGCACATTTAGCTCTATATGCTACTCTAATTGTACATTTATCCATACAAAATTCGCCAACTAAATGCAACTCCATTTTTGCATTAAGGACCGGTTGTTCAATGTCAGGTTATCAGTACTTGCCGGTTAAGCATCATTATCGACATCATGCACAAAACATGTGATCGATAAAGCAGTCTTTGTATTTAACCGGAGCTTCTACTTCCGATTTATGCTAATCAGACATTGAACAACCGGCCCTAATGGCCGTTTTCTCCACATCTGCTTAATGGGCTGTTTTTGCTAACACGTAAAAGCAGATTTAGCGCATTTAGCTCTAAATGCTACTCTAAATGTACATTTATACATACAAAATTCGTCACCTAAATGCAACTAAATGCAACTCCATTTTTGCATTAAGAATCTAAATGCTAAAATCAACCCTGTGATCTTCCAAAATTTCCACGATTCGAACATGGTTTACTGATGGCAACATTGCTTTTTCGCGTATACAGTGGCTAGCTGCGTTTCAGTGATCGCCGATCGAGATTTCATTTATTATTTTAAATTATTTGGATAAAGAAAAGTTACGCAAATTCAACATCGATGTGATGCTGATAGAAATCTGGATCAATTTGTGATCAACTCTGTTTGTTTTGTTTCCTAGTTAAGTGAGGAAATTTTAACTGACAGCACCGACAAATGAATATATACACAAACAAATGTTCGGTTTTGGTTAACACAATTCAAGTTTTTGTATTGAATTTTTTGCTTAAAATTTATTTTTTCCTTTTAAGTAGGGTTTTTTGCACATTATCTTCTTCGTGAGAATTGATCGTAATAAATACGGATCTGACTAAGCGACTGGAACACGGCTGTTTGTCAAAAGCATACGATTTTGAACCCGCGTAAATTTACATTTGCTAAATGCGTTAGCATGAACGCTCTTCGAAAACATCATCTCTAATACGCTAATACGTTAGTTGGGATCATGGTTGTCACAATTGGTAACTTTCAATTACCAAAATTGGTAACTCTTAAACGGTTTGGTAACTTGGTAACTTTTATTTCATTTTGGTAACTTTTGCAACTAAACATCTATCTGCATTACTAGAAAGAAATGAATTATGTTTTGAATGTGCGTAATTATATAAAATCCTTCGAGTTTCAGTGGCAGCACTACTGACTCTTTTACAAAATCACTTCGATTAAATTAGAGTCATCTCATATTCAAATACTGCAAAGATTTGAATTACAGTGGCAGCACCAAGAGCTGCACTTTTAAAACAACTTTTTGCGATAAATTTTGAACTATACCCTCTCACATTTTAATACTGGCAATCTGGCAATTTTTGGTAAATGCCTCTATGCAGTTTTCAAGAAAAGCAAAAATTCCATACAAAATTACGTACAAGAAATGTCTAAGAAATTTTCTTGTGTAAAATTTTCTTGAGGCAGTACGCAGTTTTTAAGAAATTTGCTACTCTTTCTACTACGGTTTTCTAAAGTTTTTTGTGAAAAAGAGTACAAAGCAACCCAGGTTTGCAACAGAAATATATGCCCGCCCCATTATTTCTTGAGGAAAGAGTGTGGCAACAGGCTGTGAAGTATCAAAAATGTCAAAATTCCTTGGGACACACACACGAAATAATGGACATTTTTTCTTGACCGTTTTCTTGAGAGCTGCATACAGGGCATAAGGTCCATAAATCGTTTTGCTTATTCCGGCAAAAAAACATGTTGCGTGCTTTTTACCAGACACATCTACTGACATGTATTTCGACACCTACCGACATATATTTCGACGTACAGTAAATTATGAACAACTGAAAAAATAACAAAAAAAATAGCAATTTTCGCAATTTACTCGAAATTTTGTACGAGTCAAACGAACGGTTAAAAGCACCCGCCACTTTTTTTGTGTGCCGGTGCTGTTATTCTGTGAGTCACAGGCCCAAGTATCGGCACATTCCGAACGAAAAATTACACTGAAAAAGGCACAACGCCGAAACCGGTTTGTCTCCACACCAAATTTGACAAGGGATGATGGAAAATCGTTCCACATTACATCATACTCCTACCCTGTCGGGAACACCAACAACGAAAATGAGAATAACGGCACATGCTGTAATTAATTGATAGAAAAATATTTTCTAACAGAAAATATTATTATAATTGTCAATAGCATTTTCAATCTTGATAATTTATCAAGAAAATAGATTTAAACTTCTGTGCTAGAACTGGGAGTTCTTGATTAATAATCAAAAATTGACAAATTATAAAAATATTGAGTTTATTAAGTGCACAGAACCGGGCTGTAAGTATATACATATTTGTTAAAAAATATAGCAGTGTTATTCAGTATATTTTTTCTCACTGATGAAGGGAAGATTTTGGTAGTGAAGATTTGGTAACTTTTCTTAAGAGATTTTGGTAGAAAAAAATGTTGGCGAGTGGCAACCATGGTTGGGATTTATTGTCAATTGGCTGGCCAAATTAAAAGGTTCTTTCCCTAACAATCCGGACCGGATCCGGTAATTAGAGAATAAGCGAAAAGTTTGCTCTCAAAAATGGAACATAATCCAGAAGTACGGGAACGAAAAAAACCGCACTTCGTGCCCAGAATTTGAGAAACAGCGCGTTGTTTTTGTTTTTGTCACTTAAATGCAAACACTTGGAAATTGAATTTTTGTTTCACAAATTTGATTTTAAGTATATAAAGATTGAAAATACATTCACTATTCCTTGTGGCCTGTTTTTGCTTACGCGTAAAAGCACATTTAGCGCATTTAGCTCTAAATGCTACTCTAAATGTACATTTATCCATACAAAATTCGTCACCTAAATGCAACTAAATGCAACTCCATTTTGTATTAAGAATCTAAATGCTAAAAACAACCCTGTAATATTCCAAAATTCCCACGATTCGAACATAGTTTAATGATAAAAAGTGGCAACATTGCTTTTTCGCGTATACAGTGCTGCGTTTCAGTGATCGCCGATCGAGATTTCATTTATTATTTTACGTTATT